CCTATTCTTTGGACTGCTAATTCTGATACAACCCAACTCCATTAAGAAGAAAAAACTTTTAACGGGTTACTTTTTTTCTCTCAGAGACATAAAACAGATGTATATTTTTCTTTTTTCTTTTTTTTTTTTTGAGATTCAACTCTGTGTTTATTGATAGCAGATTTTATATGCAGCTCTGCAGCATGCCCTCGACTTTCTAAGCGACACTGCCTTTACCTGATCTCAGTAGAAATGTATGACAAACAGAGTGCCTGTCCTCCGCATGAGAATGCAATCTTTGAACAGTCTCCTTGACTGAGGTACAGGATGACTTCAGACATCTGTCGCCATAGAAACACCTGTGCTGTCCTTTGTCATCGCAGAGTCGCATGTGCTGTCTGTTGTTGGCTGATGCCACATTAGAGTGAGAGAAACAATTACTTTATCTCCTGAGTTCACTCACTTACAAAGAAATGAACTGATTTTTATGGTAGTTACATTTTAATGGAGACAGACAGAATATCAACCAAAAAAACCCACATTACATAAAAGTTCGCATGTAAAACATGACTTAGTACTCAATGGACAAACCCTTGCTGACAAGCACAGCAGTAAGACGTTACTTGTAGTTGGTCACCAGGTTTGCACACATCTCAGGAGAGATTTTGGCTCACTCCTCTTTACAGAAACTCTAAATCCACTCAGTTTTCTTGGCCTCTGTTTGGCACTTTAAAGCTCAATTTCAGCTTCAGTTCCCTCCACAGATTTTCTCTAGGACTGAGGTCTGGAGACTAGCTAGGCCACTCCATTCATTTGTTGCCTTGCCGGTATATTTTGGGTTATTGTCATGCTGCAAGACTCATCCACGAGCCATCTTCAGTGTTCTGGCTGGCTGATGGAGGCTCTCTTCCAAGATTTTACAGTACACATCCTTGTCCATTGGCCCCTTTAATGCGGTGAAGTTGCCTTGTGCTCTTAGCAGAAAGACAGCCCCAAAGCATAATGTTCTCTGATTGTGGGGGGGTTTTCTTTGAGTGATTCTCAGCATTTCTGTTCCTCCAAACATGACAGGTTGCGTTGATGCCTCACTGCAGCACTTTCTCCAAAACCTGCTCTGAATCACTTAGATGTTCACTGGCAAACTTAAGATGGGTCTGTACATGTGCCTACGTGAGCAGGGGGACCTTGTAGGTGCTGCAGCATTTCAGTCTATTACAGCGTACTAGTTTGTTACCAATGGTAATTTTGGTGACTGTGATCCCAACTGTCTTCAGATCATTAACAAACTCTTCACGTGTAGTTTTGGGCTAATCCACCACCTTTTTCATGATCATCCTCACGCTGTGAGGCAGGATCCTGCAAGGAGCTCCAGACTGAGGGCGATTGAGTCATTTTATAGTTCTTCCATTTCCCAAGAATCACACCAGCAGTTTCTCACCAACCTTCCTACTGATGGTCTTGTAGCTCATTCCAGCCTAGCGCAGGTCTAGTGCAGCCAATCAGTGGAGATAAAGGACTATCTCTAACTGATTGGCTGTAATCTGTATGCCACATGGGCACATAGCCAATCTGTTGGAGCCCGAACTCTGGCTGGGTTGTAGGAGATGCTTATTTCACTCACTGATTGTAAATAAATTTATGATGTTTATGTAATGTTGGTTTTTTTGGGGGGGGGTTTTTTTTTTTTTTTTTTGGTTTTTTTTTTGGGTTGGTTGGTATTCTCCCTTAAAAATTAGCCACTGTTTATTTCTTTGTAAGTGAGCAAACTTGTAAATACAGCAAGGGATGAAATAATAATTTCCCCCACTGTGTATGGTAGCACTTCCCCCTTCAAGCATTAAACACACACGAGCACTTATTGTTGTTATTGAACTTTAATTTCCCCACCTTTTAAAAGAAAAGCATTATTCCAGTGGCATCTCACATAAGCTAGGTCAGCAGGCCTCTAACGTCAGAAATTTAACCATTTCACCAAGTGCCAATGAAGAGAACACAAAAAGGAAAAGATATACTGAACTAATCAAGTTGCACTAGGTTGCACTGTGCAAAGACGTGTTTTTATAACTGAAAATTTTATATACGAAACTTTTTAAGTGAAAGGGGTATTTTGTTTTGGGCGGGGTCGTGGGTGGGAGGCGTATCGTCACTGCCTGATGGAATAAATGGGGTGTCAGGGGCAGGGGTTGCGAACCTCTGCGGTTCCCCATTATTAGCACGTGATAATGAGAGTCAGTGTCTTGCACTCTGTGTCAGAGTTGTTGTACTAAACACGGCAGTGCTGCCAGCTTTAGGAGCGTGGTACTGGAAGTACAGTGAGGTACTCGGTAGTCACTTTGCCTTTCCTTGGAAGAGTGCCAAGGGATGAACGCAGCACCAGCCTTGTCTCAGTGATGGGAAAACACCAGTTTTAGCCAGTAGCTACACATTATCAGATTGATAACAAATGCTTTACAGTGTTTTATTGCCTGGAGTTTCTTTTCACAATACAATTTTTATCCACAAAGCTCAGCCTTGTGCTTCCTTTACTTAAAAACAAGTTCCTGCTTCTTTACATTTTGCTGAAAAAAGTAACATGTACATATGTTATTAGTGCTGGATACCACTTTTTTTATTTTGTATCCTTGGTTGAGCTTTGGGTTAGTGTCAAATGCACCCCATTTTAGCTCTCTCTCTCTCTCTCTCTCTCCTCCCCATCCGCAGTGCACTTTCAGATTCCACCAATGGCGGTTACAGGCCAGCGCTTTAGCTGGCAGAGAATGGGACTTTTAGCACATGTTAAGCTAGTATGACCCTCTGCCTGCCACAGAGGCAGGTTTTTTGTTTTTTCTTAAGTTGCACTAAACTGGCGTGTGAGGGTAAGTTCCTAGACTTGTTTTATTAGGAGTTTTGTTCTTTGAGTGAATCTTGGGTAAAAACATGGGTACAAAATTGCTCTTGTGTTAGATAAGAAAACATTTGTGGTGACAAGATCAGCCATTACCCCTTTTCAGCTACATAATGAGAGATGGAGATGGAAGTTGACTGTTTGTGGGTGTGCTCATTTGCAGTAGATGGAAAGCAGTGACGATATAGATGGTTTTTTGCATTTTCAGGGCTTTCTTGTACATATGCAACATAAAGAGAACCGTGAGGTTGTTTTTTTTTTCTTCCATATATCGCTTTTCTTTTGTTTGTTGTAACTGTCATATGAAAAGGAATTTTTTTTTACAGTACCGAATGTTTTTCTTTCATTTTTAAAGTTGTTTGAGAAGTTATAGTGAACAGATTCAATGTATATTGTAGCTTAGAGGCAAAGGGGAGAAAAACAAAACATGTTGAATGTAAAACCTATAAAAAAAAGTATAAAGTCTTTTTTTTGTTGTTGTTGTAATAGTTGCTGGCTAGTTTTTACTGCCTGTAGTGAACCTTTAACATGTCCTGATTTTTGGTATCCAAATCTTTAACACCCACAGACAGCTGTTGCCGCAGTGCTAAATCATATAAAATGGCACGACCTTGCAGTATTGCTTTACTATCCTATTTTGTGCAATGAAACGCTTTACAATGGAACAAGAACTAACTTGCTTTTTGGTGACGTTCACACCGTTGCTGTTCTTTTACCCTGGCTTTTTTTTTTTGTTTTTCTGAATATGTGTGGTTATCATTGTCAGAGGTGTTGTTTGTGGATTTGATGTTAAGTTTTTTGTTAGGCAGGATAACCTTCGTCATGGGGCACCATGGAAATTTTTGATCCTGCCTTGCACATTCCAATAGACGGCATGCTTTTAGTGTCTTCCAACTGCTCACTTAAAAACAAACAAAAAACAAAAAAACATATCCTTTCCACTTCCTTTTTACTACAGCGACTTCCCCGATCACCGTTTCCACTTCCTGTTCTTGTCCTGTCCAGCTTTATTGTGGTCACACCCAAGCCTTTACCCAGTATATTAAGCTAAACTAAACCCTTGAAATGTGCATCAGAAAGCCTTTGTTTTGCTGTTGTTTTGTTCTTTTTTTGTTTTTTTCAATTACGTCAAAATTGATGTGGTGCTTTTGTGAATGTCGTCTGTAAACCAGCAGCAGCAAAGCCAATAGATCTCCTTCCAAATCAAATGTAATGCATTGCAATGGCAGCTCTACACAGTTCTCTGCTTCTTCTACTATTTTGCTGTGTTGTTTGTCTGGGAGTTTACCCCGTCTGTCACTTCTCTCATCCGATGACCTATTTTTTCCCCGTACCATCTCGTGTTTTTACTGAGCCTTACGCTGGCTGGCATAAAAACCAACCTTTTGCTTTTTATTTCTCGATTGATTGATTGATTGATTGATTGATTGTCTGGTTGAGTTTGAGGTTATTTTGCATGTCTAGTATCGCTCATTTCCCCCCCTTTTTTTCTTTTTCGTTAGGAGATACAACACTGAAGGGTTTTATGTGTTAGATTTCCCCTCCAAGTATCCAATAACCCAAGGCTGATGTAGTCTGTTTTTCACCAGATGTAAAAATGCTCATTGCAGCCCGTAACACACACAAACACACAGTGCTAAGAGCATTTTGTGGGAAACTTGACGTCAGTCTTGGGTCTTCACTGGAGGGCAAGATTTCTCCTGTGTGTGGGCTTGGCCTCTGGTCCTCATCAGCAGTCCCACGCACATGGAGGAAGCACTTTCTGAGGAGTGGTGCACTCAAGGAGTATTTGTGTGAATGTCAAGCTTATGACGAGAGCTTGGAAAGATGGATGAAACATGTATGATGTCGATAATGTGATCTCTGTGATGTAATGTGACAGAAAGGAAAATAAAACCTAAATGGAAGCAGCCTTGTCATCGGGTTCATTTGTTTATATGAAGATGACTGTGACTATCGAAGTGTAAGTTTATGATGAGCAGTCTTTCAAAGGCAACAGTGGATTCATTCCTTCTGCTTTTGCTACCTCGGCTGTCTTTTGACTTGTGTATTCCTCCCCCTTGTGGACAACAGGTGGTGTGACAGCACCATTGCTATTAGCTGTGTTCATGAAAACAAAAGGCACAGCACACACTGGTCACTTCTTTACAGCAGCAATTTCAAAATTTATTGAGACTGATTGGTTTTTGCAAATAATAGTCAAGCTAATTCTTCCACTAAACATGAATTAGAAAGAGGCTTGGACGGCTGGCGGGCCTGTCCCAACATCAAAACAGGAGGCTCATGGTTGACTGTAAAAATGTTTTGTGATCAGTACTATCAACCAAAAAAATATCAGCACAAGAGCACTTAAAATCTGCCCAAAACAAAACAGGTGTAAAAACAGGACAGGTTTTTTTTTGATTATTTAGCACATTTTGTTACAAACACAGGATTATGATAATATAAAGTCAGCATCATATTGAACAATATTCCCAATGAAAATAAACAAACCTCAAGCTTCAAGTGCGACCTTTTACAAATCAGAGACCCTCTGAAACTTGAGGGAGAAAATAAATAATATATAATAGTAATATAAATTTATATATATGAAGGTATACACACATCACTCTTAGTAGAAGAACAAAATCTAAAGTAAAAAGCGCCAATTTTGAAATATAGTATAATATAGATATACCCATATCTATGGCTTCATGATTTGCACGTGTGAATCAAGCTATACAGGCTAAATGAGGATTGCAATTTGTACATGTCTAAGAATACCCATATTCATCTGCAATAGAGCAAAAAAGTTCCAGTTTTGCATCGTGTGGAATGAGACAGTTGTGTGCAGATGCCGAAGATGCCGCTTTGGTATGACAAAATGAACATAGGCATGCAGTTAAGACCACAGAATCAGGGCACAAAAGGTCATCAACACACGGTGGGAAGGAGAATCTGGTCGCCCATCATGATTTGTCTCTTTGAAGTTTTCAAAATCCTCGAATGTTTCGGCCCTCTAATCTGATCGGTCACATCTCGATAATCTCTATCCATTGAGTTACAAATATTCAGTCGTCTCTTGGAAACAAACACTCTTGCAAGCACACAGGTGAAATGTCATTGAGGCACATATTGAGGGGTTGATGGCAGACGTTTTCCTGAAGTACAACCCAGAATGAGGAAGAAGACGTACAGTACAGATCGTGAGAAGAGCGCGGGGGCCGGGGGAGTCACACATACATCCAGATGCCTCTCAGGGGCCAAAACAGCACCACAGGACAGAGATTTGCCACCGATTATGGGCTCCTTCCACACCCACCCTTGACATTCATAAACATATTCTACCCCATTGTCTTTCTTCTTTTTTTTTCCACCCCAGAAAAGTACAACTGTTTGATAAATGGGTCAAACAAAAGCACAATAAATAATGCAAATAAAATAAAGATATCTGTCAGACATAAAGAAAGCATCACAAATCTCACTGTACTGAGAGTCTCTCAGCAGGGGCTGATGGGAAGTGCAGTCCATGGCACCTACAGAAGAGGCCAAATGTGTGCGACCAGCACTGGCAACAAAATGTTTCCCAGAGTTACTACTGCAGCACTCTTTCCCTTTATGTAAATGAACTGGGGTCAAGCCAGGAAAGCACTGACATATAGGAATACAGCATGTGGACTCAACGCTCTACTGTCCGATAGACGTGTTTCGTCTGCACACTGCATTTCTACTTGATTGCGTGTCATCAAAGGCGTGAGACACAGCAGTAGCCAGAAAAAAAAAAAGAAAAAAGAATCAGCCTGGTTTTAAGATGCGGTCTTCAAAAGCTAGCTGGTCCTTTCACACAGCCCTTCATATTCACAATAACACCATAACGTGCACTTTTTTGTTTTTTGTTTTTCCAAACTGTGACGAATAATGACAGGTTCAAAAAAATAAAAACAACCCAACAACAAAACTGTTTACCACAACAATAAATCCAGAAGCACCTGCACACACAGACCGTGAAACAAAAGCACTTTATGTATACAAATTACTAGATTGTTTTTGGTTCGATATTAATCAATTAGTGTACATTAGTGATGCAAAAGCATGTGCTGAATACATGTTTCAATCAATATCTAACAGAGATGTTTGACAGTGAATGTGTTTTCCCCCCTGGTAAAAAAAAAGAAAGAAAAAGAAATGAAAATAAAAATAAAAGCAAATACGACAGAGAAAGCATAAACTGGCACAATAAAAGATTGATAAAAGCCCCATGGCTTGCTGTCCACAACAAGGCAAAGTATAAAAGCTTTTTTTTTTCTTATACAAGATATAAAATATCAAAAAAAAAGAACACACCATAAAGCTTAGCATCCAGCACTTAATAATAATTAATAATAGTAACATCAACAACAAGTAATCATAGTTCTGATATTCATAATAATAAGACATGTCATCTGACTCACTTGAATTGTCAACTTTGCCGAAAACAAACCAAAAAACAAAACAAAACATGGAAATAATCTTAAGAACTGAATATAGAATATCTTTTGGACACTGGACACTCATCCTTGCATACAAGCAGCCATCCTGTTCCACTCAACACGTACAGAGAGGGCGAGAGCAAGGGAAGGACTTCTGAAAATTAGGAATCCACAAATAAACAAACAGGTTTCTCAATAAATAGCTGTCAAATAAAACAAAGTCAAATTACACTCTCTGCAAATAGCAAACTCTGAATTCCAAGCACAATTCTGCAATTCTTCTTTTTTTTTTAACCTTGCAAAGCCAGAGAAAGCATATCAGCAAAAGAATCGTGGAAAGAGTCTGCATATTCTGATTCCAGCAAGTGGAATTACATGACTCACTTAAAACGCACGCACGCGCACACAGCAAACGAACAAACCAAAAAAAATTTACACAAAGGCAGCTCCTCCTTAAGTGTGAGAGACTTAGCTCTCAGGTCCTATCGTCACAACCTCCAGTGTGAGAGAATCTGGACCAGAGAAAGCGAGAGAGAAGGAAAGAGTTATTAGTGTAGAGCATCCACTGTGTGCTTGAATTGATTTTAAAAACAGGAAGCAGAAACTGATGTCCACTCTGTGGGTGAAGACGGCTGAAACGCTAAAAAGCATCTTTCGGTCTCTCTGTCTCTCTCTGTCTCGCACACCCTACAGTCCCCTTTTAAATTTCCACCCCCCCAAAAAAAACAACCCCAAAACCAAAACAAAACTTTATGTACATTTCTCAAAACTCCAGTATTTCTTGGAATGGATCAATAGAAACCAGGCGGTAAACTTAAGTGAAGAAAAGATTAAGGACCCCACTGAAAGGCATAGGCTATATAAACAGCAATCTGCACAAAGATTCAGTGATTTCTATTTCGTGATAACAGTCAAGAGGACATAAAGTATATCCTTAAAGGTAGGTGCGGTCACCGAGTTGTTTAGGTAAGTAAAGATCAGATCAAAAATGTAAACCACGGGTTCAGGGTATTGATAGGAGTCAGTTGTCATTAAAGTGCAAGTCTGTGGCAGTAGGACTCAACAATGTGCCATTGGGCTGCCCGGTCCTCTGACACACGTAGCTTTGCAATAGATTTAGACCCCCCCTTCACTCATAGGGAGACACTTTTCCCAGAAGCATTATAGTCATAGTTATAAGACCAAGACAGCCTTCCTCCTGGCTATTTCCCTACACTGTCAGTGAGCCTTGATTTCCATGATGATTGTGATGGCAAACATACATAGCAGTCTGGCGTTGGCCATGTCCTTGGCAGCGCCGCCATTGATTCCTGTTTTGACAGAGTAGAAAACTACTGGACTCTGGCCTGAACCCTCGAGAAAAATAACACAAAAACACTGCATCAGAAGTAAAGGAGGTAAGCAGAAAAAGCCTTGCACTGAGCCATCTCTTCCTCTACTATGGCAGTCAAGGTTGAGAAGAGCGTGCGTGTGTGTGTGTGTGCGTGTGTGTGTGGTAAAAGTGTGTGCATGTCGGTATGTGTGCATTTGAGTGTTACTCGTAATGGTATTAGATCATTGTCGCGCATCACCCTACAGCATTTCCACTCAAAGGAAGGCCTGCCCCAAGTGGGACGAATGGGTAAAGAGAGCAGAGGATTCTGCCTGAGAGATCACAAAAGATCTTCAGAGATCGGTCGATGGGTCACTAACAGGAGCCGGACAGACTCTATGAGATCCAGGCAAAGTCCTTCTCGCTCCCATTCTGCTGTTCCCCCTCCTGTGCCGAGGAGTCACTCTCCTCTTTCTCATTGTCCAGCGTTCCGTGCGTCTCAGCGGTCATCCCTGAGTCCTTCCACTTCCCTCTGTCTTCCTCCCCTTCTCCCAGCATCTCTCCGTCCCCTTCGACCATCATCTCCTCCTCCCCTTCTCCATCTCCATCACACTCTGCTTGGTCATCGTGGAAACGGTCGCCAGGATACAGCTCCTCCTCCGGAGAGATATCGCCACCCACCTCGCCATTGTGGTCCAGGAGTGCGGCCATGCCTCTGCCAGAGCAATCAGCGCAGACGCCGTGGCGGCGGGAGCCATGCTTGATTCCAACACTGGCTGCTGACATGAAGACTCGGCTGCAGACTTTACACACGTACTTCTTGTCTTTGCTGTGGACCTGTGGGAAACACAACATTTTTGCAAAATTTTTAAATTCCAAGTGGAAGAGCAAAAGCCTGCACCAAAGTTAAAAGGTCCAACTTCACAGCTGAAACTGAATGTGAATCCATTCAAATTACAACTGCAGCAATATGCTAGTGACTGAATAAATAAAGAGGAAGAGGAATACAATTTATTTGCTGGCAACAGGTGACTGCCAGGGGGGTCATTGACCAGTCTGTAGACCTGTGTGCATGGGGCTTTGGCAATTTTCATTTGCCATCAACCTCCAGCAACCACTAATAACCAGTCAGGAAATACAAATGTTTTCACTCACGATCGGTGATTATGAGATGGTTTTGGACCACTCTTTAGGTCTCTGTGACTCGGGCCTTATTTACTTAAATTGTGAGCTAGGTTGTGACCATGATTGTAACATTTCCGGCAGACAAGCTAACATCATATGATGGATGGTCGAATGTCTGTAAAACCTCAAGAGAAATCTAGGGCCTCCTAATTTGACCTCTGTAAACACTTTCCCACAGAGTTTATACACTCACTGTGTCACTCATTTTGGGTAACACAGAATAAAAAATTCTGCTTATTTTGTAAATCTTGGTCATACTGTGTTTCGAAATTGAGTATTTTCTGTGATCTGAAGACACACAATAAATTGCTAAGAACAAGAGAGTGGTTTTAAAGTCTGTGGTAAACCTCACATCCCATCCAGCATTTTGCAACAAGATGGCGATGGTAGAAACGTTAATCCCAAGGCTTCAAAAGGGGCACTTCAGAACCCAGTGGTAGCTATGTCCATCTTTTATACTGTCTAAGATTGCTTTGAACTAAGTAGCTGGTGTCTGTGAATGCACTATAGCATCTAAATAAGCTGGCCTTTTGTCCAAACCACTTATGCCCCCCCCCCCCAAAAAAAAAAAAGAAAAAAAAACAAGATGGTAATAGCATTGATGTTAAATCAAAGCTTCTACACAGGAATTAACAAACGAGTCGGTAATGTATATATAATGTTTTGTCTGTCTCTTATATATAACATCTATAAATCTTCACTTTGAGTAAGGTGTAATTTGCTACCTCCTACACGTAAATGAAGGCCTGCACTCACCAGTGTGTGCCTCTTCATGTGCTCCCTTCTGGTGAACTTCTTGCCACAGATTTCACAGGGGTAGGGCCTCTCACCAGTATGGGAGCGCATGTGCCTCTTTAGGATGCACTGGTGCATAGCAGAGAAACTGCAGTAGGGGCACTTGAACTTTTTGCGGATCACTGTGAAGTCATTCACTGAAAGGAGAGAGAAGGGGAGGGAGGATAGAGAGAAAGAAGGGGGAGAGAAAAAAAGAATTGAAGGTTGAGTGAAGCTTGTTTAAATAAACCAACGTGTCACTTTTTAGTTACTGCATTTAATTAGCGGCATGGTCTAGAAATGTACCATCAATTCCCATGGTCACCCCAATCCCCGTCAAAGCTACGGTTGCCCTGGCAACAGCTCTTCCTCTATACTAAAGTAATAAAGGCAAAGAGATACTATAAACACATAACACAACAGCCAGTCTGCCTTAGTTGCACTAGAAGGTCTCTACTATGGACAGCGAAAAACACAGACAGAAAGACAAACACAGACAATGACAAGAAAATAAAATCACCCACACAAAGAAGGAATATTGAGTCACACAAGGGGAGGCAAAATACAACAAATATTAATACCATGTCTTAGTGTTGTGTCGGGGTCTGGTGAATCTTTTATTTAAAGTCTAGATTTAAGTGATAGCTTAGGTAAAAGACACTGACTGTTTCTCTGTGTTTGTCTGTTTCTAGCCACTGACACAAAGCATATGACTCGGGGAGACTGGAATTGGATTTACGAATACAAAATCACAACAAACACTAATCACGTATAGTTGGGAATCAAACATACGGTAGGGGTTACAAGCTTTTACAATATATTTACCTCCATCTGCAAATCGACTTCTGCTCTGATTAAATATTCAAGAAGCACATCACAAAAAAGCATGCAAATACACATGAACTGCACAACAGATTTCTTTTTTTTGGTTAAAGTGCAAAAGTAATGAGATAAATATTGCAGTGTGTGTATGTATGCACATGTGTACATAACACGAATAGCTTCATTGAAGAATAAAAACGGCAGCAACGTTTAAAAAGTTCCATCATAGTTTAATTACAGCATAAAATCTACAAGTAGAATCTTGTTTGAAAAGTACAGCTTTTGTACAACACAGGGATGTCAATGAGAAAATCTAGAATATAGAACAAAATATCTTTCAGTATTTTCACATTTTGCAACAGCACTCAAAAACGGCCTTTCAGTATTTTTCATTTCTACTCTACTCTACTCTACTCTGACTATTTCCTGACTTCTGCGAGCCTGCTGCTCTGTCCCAGCTGCTGGCTAGGACAGGGCGTGTTACCTGAAAATGTGGGATTCTGTGGTAGAAAGGATTTGGCATTTAGGAATTCCCTATGTATATACACAGGATATGCACACAACAGGAAGCGGACAGATTCCCAATTGACACCAGTTCTGCTATTCTAAGCGCACAGAGGTTGCAGCTCAATGTGCTCAAGTGATAATTAGAAGTAAACACAGGTGAATAGCTTCTCTTTGGGCATAGTAATCACAGTATGCGTATACACAACAAACCTATTTACTGTAATTGGGTTTTATCAAGACAGTATCTTGTTGCATGTTAAAGGCCTGCTGTAAACGAAAGAGAGAAAATTTTGGCAGAAATTGGTGTGAATTTACATTAGCAATGGGTTTCAAGCCAGTGTTCAAGCTGATTCCAATAATCCTGCTTCTGCCCATCGACATCCTCCACCACCTCTCTTATTATTCTCCTGCATTTGCCTACTTGTCTCTCTTGATCTCTCATTTTCTACCCCGTGCTCACAACCACACCATTATCTGTCTGCAGCCGTGACATCACTAAGATCATCCAGCATCTGCCCTTCATTGCTCACTTCCTCTTCAGATGAGGGGTCAGAGGTTAAGAGGGGCCGGAGCCGTGAAGGACCAATTACTGTCCAGCTCCAACCACACTCAGCCGTTGCAAGAATTACAGATCTGGGACAGAAGAGATGGACAGAGAAAGAGAAAATGACACCACCCAACCCACCCTTCCTAGCTGCTACTGATCTATTGTTTTAGCTGGCTTTGTCTCGTTCAGCACATCCCCTCATCTGTACCGATATGACAGTCTTTGACTGAAAGCAGTCATGTCGCACTGAGTTCAAGATACTGTGCTCAATAGCGGTGGATTCTGTTGGCCTATAGTTAACAAAATCTAATGTTTTTGTTCTGTGTTTCAGTTCTTTTATGACAGTTCCTTCTATCAGCTGAGGCGTACTGCCCCTGGCATCAGTCATATTCTCGCCTGGGTTTCTATTTTGTCCTTATGATGCAATGCTGCAGAATTCCTGCAGGTGGTGTGGTTGTGTGGGCTGTGACTCAGAGTAATGCCTGGCAGATATCTTTGAATGTCTTTGTGCCCCTAATGCAGGGGTGGACAGAAAGATAAAGATCTCTCTGCCTAAAAAGGAGAGAAGAGTTTAGTCAGACTGGTGGCTGGCGACAGAGAGTGAGACAAGTGGTTAAGGTCGGGGAGGTGGAAACCCCCATCCCCCCCCAAATCTCTCAACCCGGCACTGCAGTGGAAAGTAATTCACCTGTTCATGGGTACACTCAGTGCTCACTAAAACTATTCGCACAGTCTAAAAAGACCACATATGTTTTCAGTCAAAGGTTTGTTTTAAACATATCTCTCTTTTTTTTTTTGCATAGCAGTTGTGCAGTTTTGACACATTAGTCGTCAGTTTGAGTCACCATAAAAAAAAAATAGTGACATAAAACTTAGCAAGCAATAGAAAAAGTCCCTAGATATTTATATCCATAATCAACAGACATATGATTTTAAAAGGAACTTTTACTTTGTTACTGCGATGACACCACAGAGTATTTTTGGCATGAACGTAAAACACATTTGAGGATACACGACTAACTGATGGGTAGGAAATTGTGTAGCGTGCTGCCTGTAATTCCGCTCTCAGTTTTCCACATTGATACTGTGATTATGATTGTCGACCTTCATCTGTTGCGTTACTCGCCACAGTGGGTCTATAGTCCCACCCTGAGACATTTCCATTCCAATGTTGCCTCCCAGTATAGCTCCTGGCACTGACCCCACCTGGCAGCACACCTTTACATGTGTGGCCAGGTTTTTCTGGGTGCTAAAAGCCTTGGCACAGGCAGGGCAGGTGTGCCCTCTCTCTTTGGAGTGAACGGATGACAGGTGCCTGTGTAGGTCTGTGCGGTCTCTAAAGTGTTTCAGACAGTACGCACACTGCATCAACTTCTTCTTGAAGTGGATGGTCTTCTCGTGTCGGTCCGCATTAGATTTGAGAGTGAAGCTGGCGGGGCACTGCGAGCACAGGTACCGCGCCGGTGCAGGCTCAGCTACCGCAGGCCGGTATAAAGACTGAAAGTGAAAAGGATGATTTTGCGGATGTTGATGGGGCTGGGTCGGTTGGTGGTGCGGACCTTGGATGCTCGGCCAGTCAAGGGACAAGGCCATCAGAGATAGGGTGTGGCGGTACTCGTGCTCCCTGAGATGCTCCAGGCTGCGGAACAGCCGTTTGCACAGGGAGCAGGCGAACCCCTGTGAGGGCCAGGCACCGTGCTCTGGCACAACCCTCTCCCCTAATCCAGCCTCTTCACCCAGCCCAAGCAGCCCTTTAGTCCCTCTGCCAACCACGGGCACTGACGCAGGCACAGTCAAGCCACCCGCACAACTCTCCTCGCCCATCTGATCCCTCTCGACAGGAGACTGGTCACCTTCCAAGGCTGAAATAGTGAGAAGGATGGTGAGAGTGAAAGTCAGAGAAATAATGAGGTACAATAAGCACAAGCTTATGTTATCACGACTATTAAATTGTGACAACTTTTATAGCATACTCCATACCTGTGTTGTATTCTTTCGTGTCTTCTTTGTCTTTCGTGCCCTCCTGTAAGCGCAAAACATACCGTTATGTCACACAGGCATATTCATACAGCCTGTATGGAATGTTGTCTGGACATGCAAGAGGAAGGAAGATGGTACAAGCTGTGAAGGCAAGCTTATTTAAAAAATAATTGTAAGAAATGGAGAAACAAAGACATGGAAGCAGAAAATTAAAAAGTAAAGCAAAACAAGGTCATGATTATTCAACGACTTTGAAACTGGAAAGCAAACAGAGGAAAAAATAGTAAATCATTTCTGGATGCTACAGCTGTTTCATGGGCACAGAATGAACAGTTATGCTGAGCTACAGTGCTAATAAATGAATTACGGGAGAGATACTCATAAACTCAAAACTCTCTTGGGTGTAAGCAAGGTGCACCTAAACACCCGTCCCCACACTTTCTTTCCTTCGGCAACTAAACTAAACTCCACTCTTCTTCAATCTAGTCCATGCTCCTGCCATTCCTTCACCCCCGCCCATTTGCTCAGCCCCTACACTCCTCCTCCTCCTCCTCCTTCTTCCTCTCTAAGAACAGAACACCATGCACTGGGCAAACAGATGGCTTGTCCGTAGAGATAGGGAGGCTTGTTGGGAGGCAGGTCCACTGAAATCAAATGCTGCTCCTAAATGCTCACCCGCACACACAGCGCACACACATAGACTGGCACAAAACTCACTGCTACACATGCTCATATTGCCATGCTCTCTCTTGCACACACACACACACACACACACACACACACACACACACACACACACACACACACACACACACA